CTTTCATTTCTTTACTTCCTCCGCTCTCTTCCCTCTTTATCTTCTCCCGAATAATTTCAGCCAGCCACTGAAACAGAATGCTCACAGTAGGTGACCCAGTAGGTGAAGTTCATTAAAAACCACGTTTGGACACGGGAATACGGACCCCTCCCGTAATACAGGTAGCCTTGCGCTAAATTTCAAGGAATATCTATCTGGTGTCCTCTACTTGACCACAACACTAACCCTCATAACGCTAAGCCGAAATATCCTAACCCTAACCATTCTGAAATTTTTTAGCAAGGCCACTTGTAATAAGGACGGTCCGTATGTCCATGCCAAACCACAACCACAATCACAAAGTAAAGTATTTAGAACAATATCCTGTTGGTTAAAAATAACGTTTTCCTTAGGAAAAGCAGGAGGTCTGGAAACTGGCGTATTCGTATCAAACGAGTAAGCTTAACATGTAAATATGCGGAAGAACCTGTCCATGCCAAGAAGTGGGTAAATGAGGCGTAACAAACGTTTAAAAAAACTTTCGGCGTGAATATCCCCGCAAACGCTAGTGTAAAGCGTAGTATGTTGATTAGGAAACTAGTTAATGCATTATTGTGTGTTCCAAAACGATATCCCCGAAATCCGGAGTAATTTCTTCGAATTCGAATTGTTCGAGATGGCACTGACTAAAGCAAAAACACTTTTGCTCTTTTTCGCTGGTAGGGACGTAACAGTAATAAAAGTTTACATTAAATAACATTCCGAGAGGCCCGTCACAAGCATACCACTTTTTGCATGTCAAGAAGATTTTCCTTCGCGAAATTACTGTGTGCTTTTTGGCCACGGTGTAGTCCGTTGAGTTTCCGGGTGTCCTTGAAGTGTCAGTGGAGGCTATGCGGTTTTCAGTGTTCTCAACCGATTGACCACTATGATAGGTGCCGTAGTTTGTGTTAGTCAGACCGCTAAAATAAGACAATTCTTCAAAGTCTTACCTGCGCATTGGGCTCATGGGTGTTCTTTTTATTAAGATGATGTACTGCGCCATATTTGTTGACTCACCCAAACAAGGAGGTATTTTCTGTCCTCAGTTAATGTTGAGTCTCACCGTTCTACCCTCTGTTTACGTTTGCCTTACTTGCTTCCGTCCCACCCTCTCCAGACTGGCTCTTGCGTAGATCATGCGTCACGCCACAACGTATCACCACAGTTCGGTCGGATGGCTCCGGATTCCATGATGGTTAATGTCAGTCAGACGGAAGAGCACGATGTGACCGCAACTTTGAAGACGACTTCCAGCCGGGAGCAGAAACGGACAGCCCGTAACCTGGAGGGGATGCTGTCTTCCGCAATGCAAGCTGCCAGTTTGGGTGAGAACTCGTAAGTCTAGTGGAAGTTGCCTTCTATACGCAGTACGTCACGGTAGGATAGGGGGAGGGGTGAAAAATGATCAGGAACAAACAGTTGCAAAAGCGGGGAAAGAGGGCTACGGGGTTTTCTGGACGTGCTGAGCGGGAGTGAGGGATTATGGTCCAATTTCGAGGTCAGCGGAAGGGTGTCATTAGGAAGTTTTTGAGTTCCCTGGCTGTAACGCGATGCGGTGGGATGCTATTAGGAATACGCGAAGCTCGGCTTGGGCCAGGATAGCAGGGTATGTGCCTGTCCAGATTTCATAATCAGTAATCGAAAACTTGCGTTTGCCGAACCTGACTTCTGCAGTGACTTCTGGTTGTTTGTAGGTTTTGTTGGGAGCCAAGAGAACTGATCGATCAGCAGATTCTGATGCCAATTGGAGGGCAATTTGAGAGGGACAGATGTCTAATATGGTGACATAAGACTGCTAAATGGTTGAACCGTTGGATGACCACCGGACAAGCCGTTCCGACTCAGCTTGTACTTGGGTGTTTTACTAACGGTAAACTAATCCAAAGAAAACTGAGTTGGGAAGTTTGTGGCGGTCAAGGATGTGAGGTCAACTTAAACCATGCACAATAAGTTCGTTTCGTCTAATGTCAGAAGTCAGGGAGCTGTGAGGACTAGTTTATTCTGTACAAAGGGCAGGTTGCTGTAAGTTGGCTGGTTGCTTGCAGCAGAGATAAGCGTCCGTTCACGGAGAGCGTTAGTCGCGGTGTGTAGTTTACACGGGGGTGAATGTCTTTGTCAGTAGGTCGGGGTGAGTGGGTGAGTGCTGGTCATGAGATTGGACGGATTAGGGGGACGCATAATCACAGGGGCTCACGGGTATCAAGCCAGGTCGTCCGACGCGCGTGAGGTGATAATAGTTTGTGAGGGCTGTCGGGAGTCACTGCAGCTGGACAGGAGGGGCCCCAGTTCTAGCCGGCGGGGGTGGTCGTGTGTCAGCGGCCTGTCAATGATTGTCGCAGCCATCGACCGACAAAGCGGAGCTGGAGAAAAGGGGGACTGGAGCGGTTGCTACAAGTTTCCCAACTCTCCCAGTGAGCAAACAACTGTCTTCGCCAAATTTCATTGCATTATTTTAAACGCTACGATTGCTTGTTTACTCTGTCATGGTTGTCCCGACAGCCACAATTCCGCGGGATGAACTACTGTTGTACCGAGATTTCGGAGTTTGGCCCGCCTTTTCAAGGAGAATGATTATGGAATAGTTGTACCAAATTTGCAATCACTGACCGAAGTCACTGTAATGAATCGACATAGCAAATCGTTTCGTTCACGCATTCTAGTTATCCAAAAGTGTTATGTGCAAAGAATAGACCAAAGCATAGCCACAGAGAAGCTGCCGAGTGAAAAACCAACATATGCATTTGAGTTTATCTAAAATTGTTTAAAGGTCAAAATATATTTAAAACACGGATAGACAGCAGAATTTAGTGATATGACAAAAATTTCGCGACAGTTTATCGACCACAACCCGTCGCTGCATAAAACAGATAACAAATAAAAAGCATACAGGAATTTGAGTTTACACAGGAAATAAATGCAAAACAGCAAGGTCACTGTTTAGTGCAAACAGACTAATCATTAAAATCGGTGACTTGAAAACGAAATTTAGGAGAGAAAAAGGGGTAAGTTAACATGCAGCAGGGGCGCTTAACTGGAGAAACCGGGGGACTGCCTGGGCAAGCTGAGGTCGAGCATGCGGTCTAGCTGTTTGCATAGGTCGCCTTTCTTCCACCGTATGTAGGCTGCTTCCAAACAGTGCCGTGTTCGAGTTATTTGTGCTCGAACAAGTATTCGAGGGATGTTTTGGGGTCATTGGAGTGGCCGCCATCTGGGAGGCGTTTCGTGATAAAAAGCCATCTAGGCAGGTGTTCAACCGACCTGGCTGCCATTTGCCTTTGCGTTCGTCCACTGTACTTGCATTCTCAGGTGCACAGGAATTCATAAATGCGGTTTGTGGTGTGCAATGGCAAGGCATCCTCGCCCGTAGGAATGGAATGAATTTAGTAGGATTGCATTGTATGTCCTTTCAATGATGTATTTCAGTCGTCGCTTGGTGTTATTTAAAATGTTACCACTTTTAAAGAGTAACTATACTACGGTCGGATGCAGTTATGTAGCCCCACCTGAAGTAAAAAAAACCGCAGTCACCTCTAATACGGGACCAGTAGTAATAGGGGTTTTTACAGGTGGGGACGGAAAACGCGCAGGCGACGAGGTCAAGTAGTTGTATGCAAAAGAATAGCTATTGGGAATGCGCGGTTGTACTTTGAAGGGTTGAGAAATAGCTTCGCTAACCCCTAACCATAACTCCTAGCAATAACCCATAACCCTAATCCTTAACCCCAACATCAACAAGATTGTGTCCATCAGGTGGGGCTACCAAACCACATCGTACCGATATTACAACGGACTTTGTCGGAACTGACTGTTTCGTCAATTTTGGTCGTAAGGGTTTGCTGCACTTTTGGATGAAATGTGCTGGATAGCCACGTTTGAGCAAGGTTACTTTGAGGCAGGCAATTTTTTCATCTAGTGTCCCAATCAATCGAACCTTTCTCGCTCTTTGGAAGAGAATGTACACTAGATTTCGCCCCTATTTTACTGTTATGAATCTCAGGAAATGCGAGTATCGACCCTTCCATGCATTCTTATAGAAAACTGACCTTCATATTGAACCATCTTTCTGTCTAAACATGAAGAGGTCCAGAAAAGGTACCTTGTTGCACTTCTCCCCTCTTATTGTGAATTTTATCTTCTGGTGGACAATATTTACAGCAATAAGCAGGTCTTCGGCTTCTTCGTTGTTATCAACAATGGCGAACCTATCATCCACGTATTTTCTGTACAGTGTTTTCATGTTTAATGTCGACGAAACCTTCTATTCTAGGTGGCCCACAAAAATGTCGGCAAAGGTTGGACCCAGCGAACTTCGCATTGCTACTCCGTTAATTTCCCTAGAAAGTTGTCCATAATGGAGGGGGTGAACATTTTATTACACATAATTTCAACAAGTCACGTAGTATTTCGGTTGACAGACGGGTTCCAGACGCTTGGGCGCACATGACATCTATTGACTAATCAAGTGGTACATTTGTAAATAATGGTTTTAGGATATGATGCATGATGATGATGATAAATGTATAACTGTCCTTAAACATGTGAATCGAAAACTAATGTCTAGTTGGTTCTAATTCCTTGATAACCCATTGTGCTAGTCTTTGGTGGAGTGAATTAAACACAGACAGAATTCGTCATATACGTATGCCCTTTTTACGCGTTTTTGTCAATCCATATATTCTGGAAATATGTGTACCCCCGGTTTTATCGAAAACGCGATTTTAGTATCAATCAGATTTTTGTACAGCAAATGTTTAACTTTTTCCTGGCGGAGTCTTTTAATGTCTTGGCCTCATCTTTCCCAGGCGTTTTAAGATGAAGTTTGTTAAGATCATTTAAAATAGATTCCATTTTTGTAGCATTGTTCCTCCGATTAAGAATGACAACTTCATGGCCTTCGACAGCCTTGGGAATTACTGGTTGTTCGTAAGGTTTCAGTGCAGATAGGGCAGCCATGTGTTCTTTAATTATTGGAATTGATTGCAATGCTGAAGCTCTACGATACTGGTGACAAATGTCCACTATTTTAGCCTTCGGCCAACCTACCTTGTCGGTGGATTTCGATATTAGTCAGATAACTGAGAACTCAAGTCTTCAAATGGGGCCTCAATTGCAACTGGGTTTATTCTTCTGCTTGGCACACAACGGTCAAGTCTTCATGATAAAGTCTCTGCTTGCAGCTTATAAAGTGGGATGTCAGAAATATCAAGAATAAGTTCATCTGCGCTCAGAGGAAAATTATCCTCCACAGGCTTCCTGCTTACTGACTTCACTAATTCGATGCAAACTGACTCTCTTGTCTTATTTGTACGATACATTCGTGTTTCATGAACATTAGCCGATAAAATAAACTTTTCTCATCCAGAACATGTCTCGCCTGACCCAAGCGAGATTTGTTGCAGCTGACGGTCTCAACTGAGTCCCCTATTTTGATTGTACAAGACGGTGGGGATTTCCAGATGCTGAACGTAATTTCTCTCGACGTAGGTTCTTGTAAAACTCAGCTGGAAATTCCTTACTGCTTATGCGATTTTGCAGAAATTAAATGCGCGTATTTTCTTCTGTTTTGTTGCATCATGACTGGAAAGGTCTTTTTAGAGACTGAATTAAGTCCGAGGGAGGCGCTGCTTGTGAAACTGAGGCATTTTCCCCTTGATACGAATTTCAAACAGGCATATACAGCATAATTTAGGGGACCGATAAATTTATCGACAGGTTATCAACTGTAATCCGTCGTTGCAGAACATATATAACGAATAAAAGGCATACAGTAATTTGAATTAACACAGAAAATCAGTGCAAAGCCGTAAGTTTATTGTTTGGTACACACAGACTAATAAATGAAAATGGCAACTTAAAAACGCAATTCGGGAGAGATAAAAGGCGATAATGGGTGTGTAAGTCGAAAAACTGGGCATTACCAGGGCAAGGTGAGGTTAGCCACGTGCTGCCCCTGGGTAATCTTTCGGCGTTATGGTGGTTATAACTTCCGAGACCGCAACATTGACATCACAGTTGATAAATGTTCAACTATTTTTCAACCAAAGGAAAGCGGGTTCACTTGCCTTCTGTTTCTTACTTTTTCTGATGGCCACGACCGTTACTGATTCAGCCGACATCAAGGACGTCTCTATTATGGCGTTTTTGCAGCTAATCCTGCCAGACTCCTTGAAGAAGAACTTATGTCGGATATTCAGGCAGAAGGCTATGACAAAGAAGTCACTAAGGGGGTAATCATAAACTAGAGTAACTTTTGTGAAACATTGCTATTAGCAATTGTTATTGTCAAGCGGCGAAGGGCAGGTTCAGTAAAAACCTTTAATTGTAATGACTGGATTTCACATCGGGGGTCTTGGCTTACTTCACTCGAACTAGGAAGGTGATGACATGGAACTCAAACGGATATAGTAGAGTTGTCTTAGTGGTCGTTTCCCGACTGAATTCCTGTTTTTCCTGTGTAAAATTCAGGTGCTATGGTTGTCGTAGGTGTTTCAGAGGCTGTGACAGTGACATCACGGTTAATGTACGCTGTGTCTTGCATGAAGGTGTCCATGTGTCATGGGGTCGGTCATTTGAAATCGCACACATATCAACTGCCGCTAGAATCAAAACAGTCGTCCTTTATGGTGGCGTGTACAGCTTTTCCTATCTTTGAATTCCGTCTGTGTGAAAACTGTCCCAAGTCGTGCCTCATTTGGCATCTGAACACGGTATTTTTTGCCAGAAGTTCGCTCTGCAGCACGCGTCACCAACGCCAGTGTTCCCCATGTATCTTTAATTCGCCCTATTTTCCAAATACAACAAAAAGTACTCATGTTCTTTCATCGACAAAATCCTTTTCTGTCCAAAGTCCTGAACGCTGGTTTCCAAAATCCTAAATGTTAGCTAAATCTCAGAAGCCTGTACCGAAACTGGACACGCGTAAATTTCTATTTGTGTTTTTTCGCTACTCTGTAGACTGGATCAAGACGTCGAAGCTCTTGACTGTGACTACCTGTGCAGGCCGCTGAAGAGTCGTCCGCGGTCGGGGGACCTGCTGTCCGATAGGTGGGATGAAAAGGCTGCCTCCCGTACAACGCAGCTCACTGATCTCTCTACTCCCTTGACGGAGGTGACAACCCTGAACTGTGAGGTCTCCGAGAGCTCGCCTCTGGCAGATGAAGCACCGGGTTGCGCTGAGGCTTCACGTGAAACGGTACTGGAGCCCGGTGCTGAGAACTACGAGGATGACTTTGTTGGAGAAAAGAATAGGGGGTGACTAGGAAGGGGGGTGGAGTTGAAAGACAAAGAGTGATAATTGAATATGTTACATACCCATGACGCTTACCTTGTCGACACGCCCACGGAGACCGCCAATGTCGAGGAATGAGCAGAAATCTCTCGGATTCATGTTGTTTGGAGGCGTTTTAAAGAGAGATATATACATACTTCCGTCGTGTCATCACACCAATTCAGTTTTCTTTGCTTCTTTCTTCTTGAAAAATATTCTGCGTCACGTTTTAAGCCGTCAGTGTGTGCGTGTGCTTCTCGAAG